GACCTGATTGAAGAATATATTTTAGCATCAAAACATCCAATCAGTGTAATCAAAGTATAAGTTCAACAACCGGCACTGCTTTGTGAGGAAAGTAATCACTAACTGAAAGCAAACCATATATCTACATATACTGAAATATTACTAGTTTTTTGTACAATTCTATTAACCAATGAGAATAGTGTGTCAAAAAATATAAATTAGGCTGAAAAGTTAAGCATTAATGACAGTGCACTTAATAATAAATTATATTGGAAGAAGAAGGGAAAAGAAAACAGAAAGAAAGATAAAAGAGAAGGGAATGGAGGTGAGAAAGAAGAAAAGAGGTATCAAGAAAAATCCAATAACTGAAAAAATACATAAAATCAGAACAATGAAAAAACAAACAAAGAAGAATGACACAATAAAAAAATTACAGTAAATAGTTGATGCAACAATGATCAATTTGGTTTTCTCTTTGCTGCAGTATTTAAATTGTAAACACTTCTTTCTGGGGCTTCAATTTAGAGTCTCTCAGCTATGAGGAAGTTTGTGGGACACAATATTCATACTTTTCATTCTCATCTCTGACCCAAAAGAAGCAAACTTGGTAGGGAATTCTGTATGTTGAGTTTTTCTCTTTCTTCCCTGCCTGCAACTGTTGAAGAAGCACTATCCATTTCAGAGCAAATTTCACCCTCAATATCACTATGATTTTATATCTGGAGATAAGGGTGTACCTTTAGTAGGAGATGGTGGCCAGTCCTCTCACCCAGGTAGCCTAAAAGCTGATTCATATTACACCACACCTCTCATTCTAAAAGCCTCAGTTCATGTGCTGGAGGGAGGTCAGTGAGAAATGTTCAAGTTTTATCAGCAGATCTCCCAGACATTTCTGGAAATGGAGGACATGGCCAGTCCAACAGTCAGATGCTGCAGGTAGCAGCTTTTCATCCAACCCAGACCTGAATCATTTCTAATCCCTGTCAACCTTGCTCCTTATCACAGACTTCATATTATTCAGACCAATTTCACATGAAAGCTCCTTCTACTTTTCTATGTCCTAAAAATCTGCAGATCAGCAGCTGAACTTCCATTGGTGCCCAGAGCTTCCCTCAATCTTGTGCCAGTCTCACTCTTGAGCTCCAAATGACTGATGAGTTTGTGTCCACCAATCCAATGAGAAGCAAAGCATAATGGTTGTTGGATCTTGAGTACACAAAAAAGAAAGAAAACAAAGAACAAGAGAAAAATAGACAAAGGAAGCAAAAAGAAAACCTCCTTTGCAGAAAGTTTAAAACAATTTTCCTTTTTAAGTTGGTTACACTTTCCCTACTTTCACTAAATCCATTGGGAAGTGCCTAGGATCTCTTCCAAGCTAGGTCACTTTGCAGTATCTCAACTCCTTTTTCTGTTCAGATTGTGGGTCTGAGACACAAGAGAGCCTGCTTTCCTTAAGATAGTTGGAAAACCTTCTTTCAGCTTGTTGGATGGGCATTTTTCCTTCCCCAGTGAACTGCTATATGTCCAATGTGAGTGCAGTGTACTTTTAAAATTTTTCTTCTCTTATTCTAAAAACCAATATTTTGGGATTTCACCTGATTGCTGGCTCTCTTGAGTTGCATTCTAGTGCTTTTCCACATCTTCCTACCTCATCAGGCAGCTGCAAAACTGCTGTTTTGATTCAGTGTGAGGGAACATCTGCTATATTTACAGTGGATTCTTCTAGTTCACCATTTTCAATTTTCTTCTCAAAACTCCACTTCCAGCAATGGACAGATCACCCAGACACCAAATCAATAAAGAAGACCTGGACTTGAAATGCATTTTAAACCCAATGGACCTAATAGATATATATACAGAACATTCCAACTAAAAACACTGCTATCAAGTGGACATGAAGCGTCTTCTGAATAGAACATACCATACGTTAGGTCATAAATCAAATTTTAATTAAAAAGTTTGTTTTGAGATGGATTTTACTATGTTGCCCATGCTTGTTTCAAACTCCTGGGATCAAATGATACTCCTACCTTAGCCTCCCAAGTGCTAGAACTACAAGTGTGTGCCACCATGCTTGAATAAGTCAGTAAATTTAAGAGGATTAAAATTAAAACATAAATATTTCTAACCACAATGATATGAAACTAGATATCAATAATGAAAGAAAAACTAAAAAAATCGACAAATGTGGAACTTAAACACTACTCTCCTGAATAATGATTCAAAAGAAATTTCAAAGGAAATTTTTTTAAAATCTTCAAACAAAAATGAAAATACAATATACCAAAACTAATGAAATATAGAAAAAGTAGTACAAAGAGAAAAGCTTTAGTAAAATAAAAGCTTACATAAAAAAAAGATCTCAGATAAATCATCATTTTAACTCAAATAATTAAAAAAAAACTAAGCTCAAAGTCATAAAAGGAAGAAAATAAAAGATCAGCACAGAAATAAATGATATAGAGTTTCTTTTGTTAAAAAAAAAGACAAACAAAATTAATAAAACTTAACCAGGAAAAAGAAGACTCAAATATCATCAAAAAGAAAGAGGAAACACTATAACTGTTACCACGAAAATACTTAGGATCCTAAAAGACTACTATGAATAATTATATACCTAAAAGTTGGGTAATCTGAAAGGAATGAATAATCTCTATACACCTACTATAACTGAATCATGTAGAAGTAGAATATTTGAAGAAACCGATTAATGAGTAAGAAAATCTTCCATCAAAGAAATGTTAGGACATAATAATTTCACAGACTAATTCTACTCAAATTTTAAAGAACAAATATAATCCTTCTTAAAGTCTTACAAAATACTGAAGAGGTGGGAGTACTTCCAAATTATGAGTCTTATCCTGATATCAAAACCAGAGAAGTTCATTACAAAAAGAGAATACTATTTTACAGTATTTTACTAAATTACAAGCCAATATCCCTGGTGAACACAAATGCAAAAATACTATCAAACAGCACAGAAGTGAAGCAAAATGAGTTATCAAACTACAAAAAGACATGGAAGAACTTTAAATGTATATTATGAAGTAAAAGAAAGACTATAAATATAATTGCAAACATGCTACCTTCTTGAAAATTTAATAAAAAGATTAGGGGTTGCCAGAGACTCAAGTGAATGGAGAGAGAGATGAAAAGATAGGTAGAAAACGGAATTTTAGGGCACTGAAACCATTCTGTGTGAAACTATAATGGTGGATATATTTCAATATATGTTTATCAAAATCTAGAGAACTCTCCAACACAGAAAAGTATCCTATGTAAGCTATGGACTTAATTAACAATAATATATTAAAATCACTTCATTGATCATAACAAATGTATCATATATATAATATGTATCATATTAGGAGAGAGAACTTTGTGCAAAGAAAATGGGTTAATGGGAACTCAGTACTTTCTGCTCAATTTTTCTACAAATATAAAATATAAAACTTCTCTAAAATTGTCTATTAATATTAAACAAAACAACACAAAGATAAAATTGTGGTCTGAAAATTAAAAAAACAATACAGCACAATGCTGAAAGAATATAGAAAATGGGAAGGGACAGAGGGACTAAATTTTGGCCAAAGACAATAAAAGAAGGTTTTTTAAAAAAGAAAGAAAGAAAGAAAGAAAATGAGAGTAAACAAGTGAAACATAACAACATTGAGAGAAACTAGATTTATTCTGCTTTATCCCAGAGGTTGAAGCAACTGCCGTAGGAAAACATACTTAGAAATTTTAAAAAGGGTCTTTACCATATTTTTCAATGTAACCTTGACCTCTGCTTCCCTCAAAAACCATGGAGAAAAAATTTATACCATATTTGATCCTTTAAAATTTGACTTTATAGTTGGAAGATTTGTTTGAATACCCTATAAATGGGCACAGAGACTTCTGCATTCTTCCATGATATAGTATTAGGGACCAGAATTACCCTTCCAACTTAAACCACAAAATCCTAGACAAAAAATATATTTAAAAAGAAACATAGAATTCAGAAACTGGAAAACAATAAATACAGAAAAACAAAGAGCCCTAATAACTTACTAACTGGAATTTCCAGGCCACAGTATAAGAGTAAGTCAAACAGAGCCTACTGGTCTCCTTGAATGTAAGAGTCAAAGTTCAGTAGTTGTGGAGTTCAAGTTAGCTAAAATTCATGGGGCACACTAGAGGGAAAAGTCAATCAAATAGATTGAGAATAAGCTTCAAGAGCTCAGAGAACACTAAAGATGTGCAAAGGATTACTTTTGATGCAGAGGGAGGTGTTTGTTATCCATTCTAAAGTTCTAGATACCTTCCTACATACACACACACACACACACACACACAGATACCCAAAACGTTCAGAGTTCTCTTGGATCAAAATTCTCCATAAAAAGTGGGAGTACTAAAGAATGTGTAGATTTCTTTATTTAAACACAGCAATACTCGGGTTTAAAGGTAATGCTGAAAAATGAAAAATTAACAGCAATTTCTTCCAACTAATTTTATTTCTACTTCTAAATTATATTCCATCAGGTATATTACATTATTGTTTCAAAATTCTCTTCAGTATTAATACATAAACAAAATAATTTCTCCTTTCTCTTGATAATAGTCATGAATTTCATACATGTTCTGGCTACTCTCTATATTCATGAACTGACAAGTTCTCAGTGGCAAAGAATTAGTATATTTGAGATGATATATAATTCCTAATATTGAAATCTATAAACCATGTCTTAAATTTATCACTGTACCAACTTAAAGGCCTGCTGACTCTTCAGTGGCATGTTATAACCACAATCAAAACCTCCATTCCAAGAACCTGCATGGCTCTCCTCAAAACTCAATCAATTTTGGTAATAGCAGCCTCATCTAAGAATTTCAATATGTCCTTGACAGCCAGCTCAATTATATGGCAGTTAACTTCAAGGAATATGTGTTGTTACCCTAATAATTATTACTTTAAATTATAGAAATAAATGTATTTGAAAAGGCTATTAACACAATGATGCTTAATAGCAACTTACGTGTTTCGGTTTCAGAAGTATCTAAAACTTCTTCTACTGAGTGGGTTTTTATGAATTCTGAAAGAATTAAAAGTGTACCAGTCATTATAAATTTTAAATAGAAATCATATGTGCTAATTGACTTTAGATGTTATACAATTTATACAAGGGAAAGAAAAAGTAATAAGTGCCAACACTATGGATCCTTCCAATCAGGCAATAAATGGTAGTATATAAAAAATATGTAAAAATTTATTACAAATTCATCATTTTCTCATTAAAACTTATTTTCCCTCTCATATTCATTTCTATGAATTGATAGTAACATCATTATCTAAACTCCCTTCCTTTCATATTTAATTACCAAGTTTTTCCTTAATCAACTAAATATTTCTCAAATTTGTCCCTTTCCTTCCCTTTTAGTAGTGTTCTAATGTAGGTATTTATCACACATCTAAGATACAATAAAAACTTCCCTTACTCCCAATCTCAAATCTAGCTCCTCCAATATGGCTAAATCATTTCTCTAAAATTAAATCAACAATGTCACTTCTCTGCCAAAAAAAAAATCTTCAATAAATTCCTATTACAATATGAAAAAAGTCCAAGCACTTTAGCACAGTACATGATCCTTCTATGTCTAGGCCTTCTTCCCTACCTTAACCCTGTCTGTCACTTTATACCAATTCAGTTGTAATTCTTTATTCATGCTGTTTATTCAAACTATTGTTATTTCTTAAAACAGCAAATATCTTCCTTTAAATTTTAATAAACTCTTCCTAATCCCTCAGGTTAAACAAATCCTTCCTTTTTTTGTGGACTCACTGCAAATTACACATACTTTTTAATGCATTATTCTATATTAAAATGATGCATACCAGGTTTGTGTTCCTGTAAGATGTGATTTTTCATGCGGACAACAAAAAAATTATATACTATTCATTTAGTATTTTCCCAGAATCTAGAATATAAACTTGGACTGATATTCCAAACCCAGTATTGAATAGTTTTTAAATTTACTGTTGTAAGATTTTATAGCTCTCAATTTTTAATTGAAAATCTCAAAATGTTACTATATCTAGGAAACCCTGTAAAGGCTGAAAATGTATAAACTATTTTTAGGAAACCCTATAAAAGCTGAACATGTAAAAAATATTATCACCTTCAATTTTCTGCTGTATGTTTTCACAACTTTCCACTGATATTAGTTGATTTTCTTTATAATCTCTGTTGAAGTTTCAACAAATAAAACATTTTAATATGTCAAAGAATAAGAGTTTAAATATATTCCATAAGAATTAGAATATACAGTCTAAACATAAGAAATTTGTAAAATAAAAGTGACATGTTCTTTAACCTTTGTTCAGTTATTAAGGTAAATTAGTAATAAGCATTTTAAAAGTATGTAACTGAAATTCTATAATTCTATAAGTTGTATATATTCCATTAATATAATTATTTCAACAATATAAATAACAAAAATAAATTGGGTAAAACATTAGGGTTTTTTTTTTTGTAAAGGTTAATTAAGAGTACAAGTTTTGAAGTGAGACTATCTGGCCCAAACCTGTTTTACCTACTTAGTTATTATGTGACCTGGAGTAAAAACTTATTTTTTATCTAGTAAACTGTGGTATAATACCTTTATTATAAAATGGTTATGATGATCACATGAAATTATACATGTGGTTAGTAAAATATAGTATACACCTGTAATACCAGCAGCTCAGGAGGCTGAGGAAGGCAAATGGTAAATTCAAAGCCAGCCTCGGCAACTCAGCAAGGCCCTAAAGAACTTAGTGAGACCCTGTTTCTAAATATTTTTAAAAGAGCTGAGTATGTGTCTCAGTGGTCAAGTGCCTCCGAGTTCAATATCCAGTAACTCCCCCAAAATTAACATATACCAGATCAATAAATGTCAAGTACGTATATTAACATATAGACTGACACTAATATCATGCCTAATAATAAATAACTCAAGTGAATATACCTGAGCCTCTAAACCAAGAGTCTAGTTATGCAATTTTCATGGCAGCTAACCCAAAGTAATATTCTTTTCATTCCTTGTTAATTAATACAAAGAAACCAATAAAGTAATTGCATGATAAATAATGCCTTCTAATTATGCATTCTTATTTTAACAATTCAAAGTACAAAGGGTTTTAAGTATGCTTTCAACTGTTGTTTGAAAATGTAACTTTTATGTTGGCTGTATAATTTTTAATATTAACACAATGGTCTTTAGTTCTACCCATTTTTCTGTAAATTACATAATTTCATTTTTCCTTATGGCTAAATAAAACTCTATTGTGTATATATAGCACATTTTCTTTATCCATTCATCTACTGATGGACTCTTAGGCTGGTTCCATAGTTTGGCTATTGTCAATTGTGCTGTTTTAAACACCAGTACATATGTATCACAGAAATATGATGACTTTAAGTATAAGTACCAAGCAGTGGTATAGCTGAGTCATATGGTCATTTCATTCCTAATCTTTTGAGAAACTTCCATACTAATTTTCATAGAGGCTGTACTAATTTACAATCCCACCAACAGTGTAATAGTGTTCTTTTTCTCCATATCCTCTGCAGAAATTTTTACTATTTGTACATTTTTGAGTGTGCAGAGGAAAAATATAGTAAAAGAACTTTTATGCTTTTTGAGTTAATTTTGTTTTTATTAGATATAACATTAGTATCCATCTTGACATATTATAAAAGCATGGAATATAATTTGCTGTAATTAGTCCCTGGTATTTCTCTCTCTCCCTTCCTCCCCCTATTCCTTTCCCCCTACTCCACTGATATTTGTATTACTTTAAGCTTTTTTTTAAAAGTTAATGTCTTTTGGATACACCTGAGGGAAAGATTCACTGTGTTTTATTCATATATGTACATAGAAACGTTAGGTCAGCTTCATTCTACTCTTCTTCTCTTATGCCATTCCTTCTCCCTCCTCCCTGAGTCCCCTTCATCTAGGCCACTGATCTTTCTTCTATTTTGATGGAATCTTCCCTTTTCCCTCCCTCCCTCTATTCCTTCCTTTATTTTTTCTATTTATTCCCCTTATTTTGGGCTAGCTTCTGAAAATCATAGAAAACATTCAACATTTGGCATTCTGAGTCTTATTAGCATAATAGTCTTCATTTCCATCCATTTACTAGCAAATGCCATAATTTCATTCTTTTTAATGCCTAACATTCTCTTTTCTCTTTCTCTTTCTCTTTCTCTCTCTCTCTGTGTGTGTGTGTGTGTGTGTGTGTGTGTATGTGTGTGTAACATTTTCTTTATCCATTCATTTGTTGAAGGACACTTGATTGGTTCCATAGTTTTGCTATTGTGAATTGTGCTGCTATAAACATTGATATGGTTGCATCCCTATGGTATGACTCCTTGGTATATATCTTTTGGATAATATACCAAGGAGTGGGATAGATGGATCATATGATAGTACATTTCTATTTTTTTGAGAAATTTTCATACTGCTTTCTAGAGTGGTTGCACTAATTTGAAGCCCCAGCAACAATGTATGAGTGTACATTTCTCTCCACATCCTTGCCAATACTTATTTATATTCTTGGTAATTGCCATTCTGATTAGAGTGAGATGAAATTTCAATGTAGTTTTGATTTGCATTTCCCCAAGTGATGGAGATGTTGAACATTTCTTCATCTATTTTTCTAACCAATTGTATTCCTTCTTTCAAGAAGTGTCTATTTATGGTCTGAGATTTTGGCTCAGTGTCAGAGCACTTGCCTCGCATGTATGGGGCACGGGGTTCGATTCTCAGCACCACATAAAAATAAATAAAATAAGGGTATTGTGTCCATCTACAACTAAAAAAATATTTTAAAAAAGAAGTGTTTTTTTCTTTTGACTATTTTTCAATCAGGTTATTTGGGGGTTTGGTGTCAGATTTTTGAGTTCTTTATATACTCTGGATATTAATGATGCCCCATCCCAAGAGAAGGTCGCAAAAATTTTCTCCCATTCTGTAGTCTGTTTCCCCATGCTTTTGTTTCCTTTGCTATACAGAAGCTTTTCAATTTGATGTCATGCCATTTTTTGATTTTTTGTTTTCTTGCAATTTAGAAGTTGGTGCCTATGCCAACATGTTGGAGTGTTGGGCCTACATTTTAACCTAGCATTTGCAGAGCTTCTGGTCTAATTTCTGAGTCTTCAACCCATTTTCAGTTGACTTTTGTGTAGGATGAGAGATACAGGCCATGTTTCATTATTCTACATAAGGATTTCAAGTTTTTTCCAGCATCAATCATTGAAAATGCTGTCTTTTCTCCCACAAGTGTTTTTGATAATTGTATTTATGGAGGTTTATCTCTGAATTTATTCCTTCTATTCCTGTGTTCTTAATGTTGGTTTTGGTGCTAGTACCATGCTATTTTAGTTACTGTACCTCTGTAGTATATTTTTGAGATCTGGAATTGCGATGCCTCCAACATCATTTTTTTTTCCTTATAATTGCTTTGGCTATCCTGGGTCTCTTACTTTTCCAAATGAATTTTTAAATTAATTTTTCTAGTTCTGTGAAGAATGTCATTGGTATTTTGATGGTAATTTCATTGAATCTGTATAATGCTTTTGATAATGTGGCCATTTTAATAATATTAATTCTGCCTATCCAAGAACATGGGAGGATTTTCCATCTTCTGAGGCCTTCTTCAATTTCATTTTTAAGTATTCTATATTTTTAATCACAGAGATGCTTGACATCCTTTGTAAAATTTATTTCCAAGTATTTTCTGAGGTTGTCGTGAATGAATAGTTTTAATTTCTTTTTCAGCACATTATTGCAGAATATGAAAATGATCGATTTATGTATGTTGATCTTGTATCCTGCTATTTTACTAAATTTGTTTATCAGCTCTAGAAGTCTAATGGTGGAATTTGAGGGGGGAGTCTTCTAAATAAAGGATCATGTCATCAGCAAATAGATAATTTGAGCTCTTCCTTTCCAATTCATATCCTTTTAATTTCCTTCTCTTGCTGATTGATCTAGAGTCTCAAGACAGATACTGAATGGGACTGGTTAGAGAGTACTGTATTGTCTTCTTCCTTTTTTAGAGGAAATGCTTTTAGTTTTTATCCATTCAGTATATTTTTGGCTTTGGGTTAGTCACATATGGTCTTTACAATGTTGAGGTAATTTCTATTTCTAGTTTCTCTAGGGTCTTAAAAATAAATGTGTGTTGCATTTTGTCAAATATTTTTAATGTATCTATTGAAATAATCATGTTGTTTTTGTCCTTAAGGTCTATTTATGTGGTTAATTACACTTATTGGTGTCAGGTTTTTTAGTTCTATGTATACTCACCCAAGTTTTTCTGCTATCCATTCGTCATTCAAAAGTGAATTATTTAGTCTCCAGGTGCTAGAGTGGTTTCATTTCTTTATTTGCATATGCTGAACTATCCATGCATCCTTGGAATAAAATCCACTTGATTATTGTGCACTCTTTCAATGTGTTCTTGTATATGGTTTTCCAACGTTTTATTAAGAATTTTTGAATCTGTATTCATCAAGAATATGAGCCTGAAGTTTTTTTTTCTTTGAGGTATCTTTGTCTAGTTTTCATATCAGGGTGATACTGATTTCATAGAATTAATTTTTCAATGATCCCTTCTTTTCTATTTCATGAATATTTGAGGAGGGTTAGTTCTTCTTTAAAGGTTTGGTAGCACATGACTAAGAATCCATCCAGTCCTGGACTTTTCTTTGTCGAAAGGCTTTTTGATAGCTGCTTCAGTTTCATTACTTGATATTGATCTTTTTAGGTTTTCTATATCCTCATAGTAAACTTGGGTAGGTCATATGTTTCAGGAATTTATCAATATCTTCAAGGTTTCCTACCTTATTGGAGTATAAATTTTCAAAATAGTCTCTGATAATACTCTGAATTTCAGTAGTGTCTGGAGTGATATTTTATTTTTCATCTCTAATTTTGAATATTCTCTCTTTAATTTAGTTAATTTAGCAAGGGGTTTACCATTCTTACAAATCCTTTTAAAAATTCTTTGTTTCATTGATCTTTTGTATTTTTTCATTCTCTATTTCATTGATTTTGGCTCTACTTATTATTTCCTTTTTTCTGCTGACTTTGGTGTTGGTTTTATCTTCTTTTTCTGGGTCTTTGAGGTATAATGTAATAGAATTTATTTGGTACCTTTCTAATTTTTTAATATATGAACTCAATGCTACAGACTTTC